TGGTCCAGAATTGCGGGGCAGATGCGTTGAATCGCTGGACTCCTCCAATTGATGCTCAGAAAAAGGGGGATTGATGTCTCTACTCATTCCAAGACATGGATGCCCTGTATATTGCTATTTCTTTTCACTGCCCCGTCATTCGTACACCCCTGCGAGTCCTCCCCCACGCCATGGAGATGGAGGAACAGTGCCTTCCAATTGACTATTATCCCCTTCGATGCTTCTTGGAGGGGGGGCAACCGAACTGTTCCAAGAACACCAAACCTGGCAAACGCACAGCCTGTGCCCAGGGAGGCCTTTCTTCAAGGGAAACACAGCCAACCCTTGCCGCATCTTGGCCGCCCTCCCTGTCACATCGGACATCTCGCTCAGCGATCAAGGCTCCACAAGAAACCGAAGGTGAAGAACACGTTGAACTGACGAGGATGGGTCTCGACGGATGGGTGACCCAACCGGTCGTGGGTTCGGAGAATGTGATGATGAATGGAGAGGAGAACTGTGAAGGCCAAGAACTGGTCGAGTCAACTCAACCAAACCTGAGTAACACATAGTAAGCTAACAGGAAGTTGCAATTATTGTTTTAATGTAAATACGTACATATACCAGCAGTCACAAAGGGTTTGTGTTTAGTCCCTAAGTGAGTGGATAATGGGCACCCCTAACCTCCATTAAGCACCCCTGCTGGCAATAACTAATTAATGGATACATAATGTACACGACTGAGATACACTCCCTAGGGATCCAAGTACCTTCTCAGAAGGTACTTGGACCCTCAAAACCTACATAAGAGTGTCTCCAATCACCTTCTGAGAAGGTACTTGGATCCCTAGGGACTGCATCACTTTCTTAAAAACCCTTGCTGGCAACAGCCGGTACAGGCTGAAAAAAGAACGGAGCGAAAACGCAGCGAGCTTCGACTTCAACCGGTCCCGACATGATTCCACGAAACCACCTTCCTATCGGGGGAGAGGTGTAAAAACAACAGAAGGCCTGTAAGAGGCTTTGTTTCTACACACCTGCTTCGACAATGGTTGGAGGAACGTTTGTTCCCCGCCTGGGAACCGAACCCTTCGGACCGAAGCCGTTCTTGCTGGCCGTGCGGCCGTGCCTCCATGCGACGCAGCACGCGTGGAAGGTGCCAGGGCCGAAGTACGAGCAGCACCACCGTGAGAAGCCCAAGGAAAGCCTCACAGACTCGTGGGTTGCATCCTGCGACAGGCCGGGTGTGCAACTTGACGGTGGATTCCATCACTAGTGATGCCAGGGTGGCACAGTAGCACTGCAGTGGTAGCAGCAACACTTGCTGCAAAGCAGTGGGCAGTCAGCAGTAGCAGTAGCAGCAGTAGCAGCAGTAGCAGCAGTGGTAGCAGTAGTAGCAATAGTAGGAGCAGTAGTAGTAGTCGTCGTCGTCGTCGTCGTCATCGTAGTAGTAGCAGTAGCAGTAGCAGTAGCAGTAGTAGCAGCAGCAGTAGTAGTAGTAGTAGTGGAGGCAGGGGCATAAAGGTAGAGATAAAAGTGGTGGCGGGGTGGTGGCACAACAGTCAAACACATGGACTAGCAGCAGCTAGTGACTAGCAGGCAATTGTCAAAGAAAGCTTCGAGGAGAAAGTTCCATTCCCTGACCCCAAAATGGCCATCAGCGTGGGTGCTTTTGTGTTTTTTGGTGGGGGTTGCTGCTGCAAACACCATCAGCAGCACCAGCAGGAGCGTCGAACTTTGCTGTAAAGGAGTCCAGAGAGTCCAGGCCCGTGTCTGTCGGCACTCCAGCTGAATATTTCAACCCCATGAGTTCATCTCGGCTGAAGCCATGTTCCCTCCACTGAGAAACGCACGTGCCCGTTGGCACGAAGGTACCCAAAGGATTCTCCAAGCCTGCTTGCACCAAAGTCTGCTGCGCTACCAGAAAAGAGCTCATTGTGAAGGAACACAAGGTGCTCACCTGTGCTTTCAACCGAGACATGCCAAAATTTGGCTAATTATGGGTCAAAAACCATGGCTGACCTACCTAGAAGGTGGTTCGCTACATGTGCAGCAGCATGTATTTGGTACTAAACTCAAATACACTATATCTACTATGTGGGTGCCCTATCTCGTTTAGACTACTTAAGTCGGATGTCACGTCACAGTATCTCTTTCAGACTACTTTAGTAGAAGATCACACTATGTCACTATCTCGTTCAGACTACTTTAGTGTCATCAAGCAAAAGTATTTCGTTTATGTGGGGGCCCTATCTCGTTCACGGGCGAATATATACTGATGGTAGACAAGCACATAGAGCATGCGCAGGTCAACTGTCTACAGTAAAGCCTCAATTCCAGTGGTTGCTCACATGGTGGGCTCCAAGTGCGTCACGCGACCCACCCACTGGCTGGACGTGAGGAGGTGTCTCCTGGACTAACCTGGATCCTTGGCGCTCCAAGGCACTGCATGGCTGAAGAGATACCGAGTTTGCCCGAATTCATGCTCCTGATCCCCGTGCTGGATCGCAAACATGACCTCAACAAGTTGGACTGACTGACTACACAGGACACGGCTGACTTCTGCCGTGTCCTACCATCACAAGGCCATAGGCTCCAGGTGCCTTCTGAGGATTGGAATTGGGTTCGAACTCCGATGAGAACGATTCTCAGAGCCAAACTATATCCTCATCTCATCAACTCGATGGCCTACGAGCAAACGACCGAACTTACGTTTGTATATATATATATATATAACTGAATCACACAACAAAAAATTGTTCTACCAGCTCCCTCCAACAGGTCACCAACCACTTTAGCTACTTTGAAGCTCTTTGAAGTCTCCCAAAACAAAAGCCACCAAAGGAGACCTGTTGGAGGGTGCTGGAATATCATTCGCTTTCAGAATCCATTTCGTACAAAGACAGTGCCGCAGGTGAAAAACTCGCAATGGCCATAGCGATGTCCGACTGCAGTGCTGAGCACGTCTCCCTTGCGGCCACCCAGAAGGGCACGAAGAGCAGCAAAACACATGCAACGAGAAGCGCCGTCCAGGTCAAGTGATTGTCACAAAGCCCGAAGTACCAGCTGCACAATTGGTGGTGTCTCTTGACCAAGGTCAAAACCTGGTCCAGTTGTTCACACTTTTCCAATCTTTTCCACATATTGTACAAGTAAATTTGGACTAGCATTCACAAGTTGCGGACGCACAAAGAAGACTTGAAAACGTGCCAAACCACCCAGAAACCATCCACCAAAGCCATTGGTTTCCAGCTAGGATCCAGCAAAAGCAGCGGGCGGAACGCCCAGTTAGAGGGCTCGCCCAGTCAGGGTCAGTCGCGACACCAATGGAAGTGAGTGCCTTGATGCGCTTGGTGAAGTCCCATGAGTAGGCCATGAGCAGCAAACACTGTGCCACGAGCCTGGGCACCGAGTAAACACTTTGTGGGGACCATCCTGGGGAGTGGAACAGTTGCGGATGGATCATCAATGGCGGCAGAACATGTATGAATGGAACATGTGTAGCTATATCCCATGGATTTTCTGTCCAGTTGCGAATGGGCAGCCTCGCATCAGGGCCTGATGCATCAGCCACCAACGGTCCATGTCCAAATTCTATCAAGGTCTTCGTGAATTGAGCGTGTCAAATTTAAACCTATGTCATACTGTATGTCCTGCAAGGAGACCCCCACAGATCCCAAGAAGTCTCCTGTGTCCCCAAGAGCACCAATTAGCACCACGGTTTTTGTGATTGACGGAGCTCCGGTGGCCGGTGAACCACGAGTTCGGGATGGCCGGGAGTTTCAAACCTCGTGAAAAACGAGCTTCGTGGGGACCATGGGGGTGTCTTGGAAGGGTTCTGGGCAGCGAAAGTGACCAACCTCCGACAACTAAGAGCAAATGGAAGACCTCTTCACGGAAAGTCACCTTGAAGAGACGTCATGTGGACCCCTAGCTCAATCGATGTGAGTTCAGCGCAAACAGCTGAGGAAGAAAGTGAGGCTTGGTCCACTTGAAATAAATTGGACTAAAATGATCAAACAAGAAAGCAAAACTTGCAAAATAATTCTGGCAAAGCTGGCGGCAAATAGATACCGACCACCGTGTTGAAGCTGATGTGGAGATCTTGCGAACCAACCAGTCCAAACCAAGTGAGTTGATTACACGTCGCCCTCAATTGGCAGCCAGGGTTCAACTGCGTGCATGAATAATCCAACGAATCAAATAAAACACAAGGTCCTCCAGCAAAGAATGAAGAACCCACCAGGACCTTCCAAGGGGTCCCGTGAAGATCGACTTGTGATCACCTGCTGACTCAAAGGAAAGTCCACGTCGCCGAGCATAGCTCTCATCGCATTGGGGTAGGTAGGACTTTTGCTGCTTGGGGGGGCCATTCATTGAAACTGTTGGCCAATTCTGGTTCGCAAGAGGCGGCCATCTTTGAGAATGAACATTGCGAAGAGGACACCCGGAATCCCCGCTCTGCTGACCATCCAGGGTAGAAATCCGCTGCCCTCAGGCGGAATTCTACAGGGTGTTAATGGTTTTGAGCTGTTGCGATCCATGCCCTACGGATGCCCTTCCCGGCTCCAGTGGTACTTTTCTCAGGCTCGGGACGGACTAGCCGACTAGCCGACTAGCCGTGCCCGGCGGGTCGGAGGAGGTACGACTGGAGCCGTTGAACCCTCGCCATGCAGGTCAGAGTCTGCAAAAACAACACCAAAGGATGCACATTGCCTCGGTTCGTCGGTCGGACCGTTGGTCGGACCCAGTCGGCCCGTCCCCGTGGATCGATCGACGTGGAGACCTGAAGCAAAGGACAGGACCTTAGGGTGACCTGACCTGGTCTGTAGGCACCTTGTTCCATACCTGGCTCGAGCATCCAAGCGAGGAAGAAAGACCCACTCCCCAAACAACCCATGTACCAGCGGTGGATCTCCATTGGGCACCCCTTCAAACATTTCCAGGTTATGGCATCTTGACCTACAGTTGGGGAGGTCGATCGGAAACGACGGCTGGAGGACTGGACTGTGCCACGTCTCGCGGCTCTGGGCCTCGTGGCTCTGCGCGCCAAATCGGACATACCCAGGCGCGACCCGAAATCGGTCCCGAATCCTCTTGAGGGGTTGAGGTTTCTCATATGGAGGAGTCTGGGATCTCAAAAAAACCCAAGGTTTTGGAGGCACCAACCGCGGTATGAAGCAGTCGACACGTTTGTTCAGGTCGGGCAGCTGTGGCACAAGACCACGAAGATCTCCAAAAAAAGCCTGAGCGGTTTTGTTTGCCAGCGCTTTAACGCAATGCGCGGCGACGAGGCCATGAGGGCAGCTGGGTGTTCCAAAAGAAGAAGAGGGGACGATTTCCCACTAAGTCCACCCCAAAACGGTTCAAGCTGAAGCACCCACGCTTCGGCGAAAGAGCCGACCCATTCTTGTGGGGGGCATCATGCAAACTTATGTTGAAACATGTTGAAGCTGGAGATTAAGCTTGAAAAGGCAACCAATCCAAAACATGTTCAAATTCCAAATGGGAGTGCTTTCAGCCCTCTCCTCCAGACTTTGAAAGTCAGTGGAGATACGGCACCCAACCCACTGGAAACTCTGGCAATCGCCCAAAAAGCATTCCCCCTACGGATCCAGCCAGTTGTCGAAGGTGTAAGTGGTGTAAACAGACCCTACAGGCCGTCTCCTCGGTCTCCTCACCCTCGGAAGGTGGCTGGTTGAATCCTACTTAGTTGGTTCTTCCATCGGGTCCTGATGGGTCGGACCTTGACAGCCCGTCGCCGTCAAGAAGCCCAGGCAAGAATAAGGTGGCGGTGATAATCGCCATGAGCCAGCTGCTCAGTGTGATCGCCAGCGCAAACATGGAGGAGTAACTCGGACCTTGCTGTGTCTTTTTGTTGGATGCGGAATTGGAGTCAACAGTGGACGTAGCACGGCGTTTTTGCAACTTTAGTTGTAACTGCGGCATTCTTCGCAGAATTTGCAACTTGTCTCTGACCGACTGATAAATCATCATTTGAGGTCCCTGGAAGAGTGGGAAACCCACGGCAAGGGTGTCTGGGCTTCTTTCGTCACCCGAGACCCCCGGCGTGGACGACTTGCTCTGGTGTGCTGTAGATGTGAACGAGTCGAAACGATACCAAAACGGGGCAAGCGTAGGGACGTACTGAAACGCCACACCCTAGGCAAGGTACCACACAACCCTCCAAACCTATGCCAAACACCTTCGAAATGGAGGTATGTAGAGCCCTATAGGCCTGTTGGTAGCACGATCCGACGCTCCGCGCCGGTCCATTTCTCCTCTGGGCATAAATGTCCCTGCGCACGGTCAAATCATCACTCCTCTGTCTTCTTTTTGAAGACTCGCGGCACGTGTGAACCGGGAATGACCACATTCGAACGGTCTCCCATGTTCCGAGCCTTGAGGTACTTCACGAAATCCTTCAAACCTGCCGAGCCGGTGGCGAAGTGAGAGGTACAAAAGGCACGGTAACTTGACATTTCGGAGCTGGCGCTATTGGCCACTTCCTCGTAGCTTCGTGTGCCCTTAAACTTTCCGAAGCTGAACATCGTCGCACCCCATTGATCGACTGAGGTGATCCCATCAGGAAACAAACTCTCTACCGGATACCCTGACCCGGTCGGAAGAGCAGCCGCAGGCATTGGAGGGGGCACCAAAGGCTCAACTGGCGACCAGTATACATCTTGGGGCTTTCCACCACGGGCATCATCACGAAGGCGTTTCGAGCCATCACCCATCGTTCCAGCACTTGAACCGCTCCAGGCCAAATCGGCATTGATGTCTTCAATGTCGGTGAGGCGTTGCATCAGCGCCGGCCAGGCACCGGCAGCACGGGCCTTCACCATGAGGCGAGTGCACTCTTCCATCTCTCCAGCTGTCATGACGGCCTTGGAATGGGCCATCGCTCGAACTCACTGGTTATATGATCGGGGCGAACACACAGACAATATGTCAGCTTGCACACTCACTTCAAGCCAAAGGCAACACAAAGAGAAAACGGCTTATCGTTGAAGGACAACTCAACATCACTGATCTCTCCGGAGATCACAAGCAGGGACTCTTGCATTCAATTACCAAAAACTTAACTTCCAGTTGACATGTGTACTTACGCAATGCGGACATTGAGTTAAGTGCTCACACTTACCTACCCACACAGGCCGATCTATGGAAGCATGCTATTTATTTATTTGTGGTTCTATGACAAAACAGTGAAACCTGCGCAAATCCAACACCCCCTGGTGATGGAACCAGACTAGTGATCATCTTTGGCCGCAAACGACTTTCTTCGATCCTTCTCTGCAGCACGTCGTTCCAGGACCAAACCTTCTGGACTGATTTGGTATGATTTCGCACGGAGGCAAGACCTTAGCAGGTCAAAGGCTTCAGCACTCTCCTTGGTCAGTGCATCGGCTAACATTCGATCGGTCGGAATCCATCGCACCTGGGCCTTCAGTCGAGCTATACTTTCACGAAGTATGATTATATCTATCGAGGTCCTACGATCATCCAAAGTTGGTGAGGATTGTGACAACAGGTGATCGTACAGGGATTTGCAATCCGTGATCAAAAGTGTCAAACGATTTCCCAACCCTGACCAAAGAGCCTGTGAGAATCTCGGGCCATCAACAGCTTCTGAAAGCAAAAGCGATGACCATTCGAGCATGCTGGAAGCCACTGACATACTCTGTGATTCAGCGCTCAAAGTAGAGCTTACAACCCTTGGCAGTCGGAAGCTTTTCCAAAAACATGGACTCCAACTACTGTCATGACCTTCATTCACCTTCGCATCAACAAAACTGATGATGTACCCCGCCTGGGTTGCTCCTGCTTTAGCATTACCGAAGGCAGCGTCCGAATGACACATGAGGCCTAACCGATCTAGTGGAATCGGGCTGAAGGTGATTACTTGATCAGCATGTTGTTTTGCTCTGCGGACTGCATGATTGGCGTTAATAGCATCACCCACTGTGGGCCTCGGAAAGGATTGCTGAGCAAAGGAGACCTGAGTGGCTACATCTGGTCGTGATTGATTTGCTAGCCAGTTAAGGCTTCCATTGATTGCTCGAAGACAGCTAATCTCTTTCTCAGTCAACTCGGAACTCCGGTCACGGGCTCGCTCTCGGCTCATGTGGAGAGGTCGAATCTTCTGTACAAACTTCTCTTGAGACATGGTGATTGCGAATGACTTAGGGCATTGCTTGTATTGGGACCCACAAAAGTCACCTTCACCGATTCGCCATTTCCGAAATTCAAAGGTCTTACGGAGTTCCTGGATGGCTGCATGATATGCTTTCCCTTGTCCCCCTGTTACACAGTCGTCAACATGTACCCCATATACTCCTTGGAGTTTGCCATGTTCACGGAAAAAGAACAAACAGGAATCGAACTGAGATTTTTCAAAGCCAACACGAAGTAGTTCTGAACTCAGCTTCCGATACCATGCCGACGGCGAGTCGTTCAATCCGTAGACGTGACCCAACACTTCGATCAGGGCGTCTTCTGGCACTCCTGGGATACCCCCTTTTGGAAGACTTGCGTACAGTGGTTTGTATCTTTGAGGAAGGTCACCTGAAGCCAAGAATGCCCCTTTGATGTCACCCAAGGCAAGCTCCCAGTGATGGGTTGCCAACAGTTGGAAAACTAAGTTCCGGCTGGCCTGAGCTAACGTCGGACTTTGCAAATCACCGGCAGCGGCTTTCACGGAGAGATCTGGGTCAAGGTGACCCTGGAGACACCACCTCGCCTTGGTACGAGGTGCGGCATCATCCTCCTGCTTAATGGTGATTACAAACCTGCTACCCATGATGCGATCCGGATGACATCGACGAATCTCAGCTGCTTCGGGGCCAAAGGCAACACGTCCGGCATGTTTGGCAGTGATGGTTCCCCATTCAATAATCTTAGCTTCATCTATCTTACGCTGAAGTTCCGGAGGGTTTCCACTGGGGGGCAACTCTTTGGCAGACTTCTTCTTCTTCATGTATGCTGCAACCAGAGCTTCATGTGACTCACCTGCAAGAAAACGATCGGCTAGTTCCTGACGTTCTTTGATGTTCAAGCCATCGTTCGTGTGGTAGCTACTTCCAGCTCTCTCCATGGCTTGCACTGAAAGCACAGTGACTTCATCACAGGCAAACGTGACTCCGGCAGGACTTGACTGGTGTTCAGTCATCAGCGTTTCGTCGTCGACATTCAGCCTCTTCTCTGGTGGATCGCTCGGATCCGGTTCAGGAGAAGGTGGTCTTTTTACCCCACGACTTTCCATGGCAACATCAGTGTCATCAGGTTGATCAGCTGGAATGACTTTCTTCAACAGTTCCGGGACGATCTCTTGCATCATCTCTTGGAAGTCCTCTTGGGCCATTCTTTCAGGTCGATACAGGGCCATGGGACCATCCTTCTGAGTGACTCGTCGACGAACTGGGCCATACGAGAGTGTCTCAGGTGTCTTCTCTGCCGGGACAGTTGGTGCAGGAGATGAGGCATCAGTCATTGGTAAGTCTGTGTCGAGGAAATCCGAGGCTTTGTCTTTCATGTGTGGGGGCAACCCCATGCCTACTTCGGGAACCCATGGATCACTAGATCCCTGTGCACCGCTCTCGGATGACGGTTCTTGATGGGCTGACAAGGACTTCGGCTCTTCACCAATGGACCTACGAGCGGACTCGTTGATTTGGGGTGTCACCTGTTGATCTGGGGCGTTCACTGGCGTCGCAGGATCTTCAGGGGGATATGACTCAGGCACTAGGTCAATGTATTGGCGACTGTTCAACTGTTCCGATTCGATCAAGTGCTTGATCCCCAAAAGTTCCATCTTTGGTGTTTCTACGAGTTTCAGTTCGTCCTCGGTCGAACAACGAACCTGCTCCGGAGCGCACCGAAAGATCTGCCTCTTATGGATTACTACTACATTCCGCCCCACATACCCCAAGACCACGGCGGGGCCGCACCAGCGGCCGGTCTTCTCTAGAGCACCATGGACCCACTTCTGAGTACGCCAATAGGCTACATATGTGCCTGCCTCGTATGTTCGAGACACTCGTGGTCTTGCTGTCAGAGCTAATCGAAGGGACTTCGAATCTTGCAACTCGAGCACGGCTCTTCGCGCTGACTGGCGAATAGCCACTTGTCGAGCCACGGCATCTTCGTACAAGGAAGCAGTTGCCGGTATGACGTCCAAGGGTTCGTCCATGAGATTCTCAGGAATCCGGGGATTCTTACCGAACACGAATTGTGAAGGTGTCATGCCATAGACTTGAAACAACTGGTTCTTGCAATGAGCTGCATGGACACATTCTACCCAATCGGACTGTGTGGACGGTGCATGTTCGGACAACACTTTTTCTAGGACTCGGTTGAACCACCCCCCATGGACTTCACATTTCCCCAACTGCCAGTGGGCGTCGGCCGCAGTCAGCTTAAAAGTGGCGCCACCCTGCTCCAGCAAGGACGTGAAGGCGTCCGACATATTAGCTCGTGCAGGATCAAGGATGATCTCTTGCGGCATGCCGGCCCAAGACACCCAACGTTCCATGAATACATGTCTCAAGGTCTCTGCTGTTTCTTTCTGGAAGATTGGGACCATCACCTGAAGTGAACTGGCATAGTCTACCATGTTTACTGCTGGAATGCGTTTGTTTGCGACCCATCCACTCAAGTACTTCACGTCGACACCGACTAGGGCATTGAACTCTGTGACCCGGTTCACTTGAGAGGGTAAGGCTATCTTAGGTTGTTTCTGGGCTTGACATTGATCGCAAGAGAACGCACGGGCAGCTATCAGGGCAGCCTCGGAGGCACCACCATGCTTCAGGACTCGGATGAGTTGTTGATTAGTTGGATGTCCTAGATTATTGTGAAGCCGGCGGAGACTCACCTGTAGCCCGTTGGGGCTTTGAGGTCTTCCAATGCATGGGCTACCAGGCATTCGGCACTCTGGTCATCAACTACCACGAGAGTATCGGTGGTCGGCAGTTCTTTCACATGTCGAAGTACTGCTTTCACGAACGCAGGTGTGTATCTTCCTGCATGTCTACTGATGGATCCTATGGTAGGCCAATGGCCGGCGACACTCTGGTGATTAACATGATCGGGATGCCGATGACCAGGGCATTTCCTACCTAGCTTGAGCATGTCATGATGTGAGACCAGCAGCGAGGTCGCTTTGCGAATGAGCTTCCCACCTGGCACACGAAGGCCGTAGCAGCACATGTCAGTTGACACTATGTGACATTGCTCACGTAGGACTTGCATGGACTTCATGTTCCAGGCAATCGAATCCCGTGGATGCTCAAACATGAAACGTCCCCCATGTGCTGATTGCAGTTGCATGAGCTCACAACAAAACGAGACAAACAGTCGAGTCCATGTCTCTCGTTCGGTCACCTCTGCTGGAGACATATTGAGCTTGTTGAGATGCCACCAGCCTCCCGCCCAAGTGCACGGGGGACAACAGACCAAGAATTTAGGCTTATCTCGGTTTACGATGTCCTTCATGCGGTCACGGTGTCCCTTGATGCGGAAGTCCCATCCAGTGCACAGGTCGGCTGACAACACTTTATACCCTAGCTTGCAACCCTCTAGTGCAAAGCGAGGAGGCGAAAAGACTTCAACAATGTCGTATGACTCACTACACACACGTTCAGGCGTGGTCGGAGGTTGAGCCTGAGCCATCAGCTGACGATGCTGACGGGCAGTGAATTCCATGATGTTCAACTTCTGCGTATCAGCCTGGGTGAGAGCGATGGCGGGGATAGGAGAATCTGGCTTCATGCGAAAGACCGTTCGGCCGGTCCAGGGTTGCTTTGAGGCCTCTGCATGCGCTACACTACGATCGGTCCATTGATCAGTGATATGATCTACCTGAGTTTGACCTGTTTGGACGACGGTCGAACGGCACGCTTCGAGCATGTCAACCGGGATTGGACACTGAGTATTGGAAGGGGTAAACAGCTTCTGTCTTGGTTTCCTATGGTGGCGAATCACAATCCGGTCCTGAGGCCTAACTTCCCAAAAATCCTTTTGTTTGTTAACATGCCTATTGTATTCTACCGAGAGACAGGGAGTGACATGAGCGGAAGGCTCATCGTCGGCAGGTGCGAACAACTTGCTGGCTCCCTCTGGAAATTCGGTGATCTTGATGGCATATTGACCTGCGGAGTTGACTTCAATGGGCACAGGCACCTGGGAATCGAAGAGCTGAATGCTGTCCTCAGCAAAGTTCATCTGCACTTTCAGCTTCTTCATTGACGGACGGGATAGCAGCAAAGGGGCGGACCCCTGGACAATGGCCGCCCGAACATATCCCGGCTTGCCAGCAAGGAAAATGGGCATATCAATCATGGTGTCGCTGACCTCCTGTTGGCCGTTTCCATATCGGAAGACATTTCGCTGCTTGAACTCAGGCTTCACTGGAATGTTCAGCTTGTCCCAGATCTCACGAAACGAAGTGAGCGTCTCCCGACCGATGATGGTCTTTCCACATCCGCTGTCCAGGATGGCATATCCCGGAGAACTCACCAACATCACCTCGGAGTGCTGGGAATCGGAATCACACGGGGCAGCAGTACATATGAAATGCTCCTCGGGAGTCAACACTTCCACGGCACCAGCGGCATGACTACTGCCAGTTGTTGAAGTGGGATTCGATGATGAAGATGTTCCCTGAGAGCGGCATTCCCGCTGCCAATGTCCCAATTTGCCGCACTTGCGGCAACGTGTTCTCTGCTTAAGTTCTTCCACCTGCACCCGGAAGGAGCGGCGGAATTCTTTTCCAGCGGAGGACGAAGCTTGGGAGCGATTGCCATCTCCCTTGCCAGAAGTGAATCGACGGCCCTTCTGTACCTGATTCAGTTCAGCTCGGCGTTCACGCCATGTAGCTGCCAGAACCTCGGCGGCTTCCGCCTCGTCGAAACCCTCATCCTCATCAGGCGCCGGATAGCCATCATGGCCGTGTTCAGCAAGGAACAATTCGACGTCAGCAAAGTCCTCATCAGGGTGCTCCGGCTCTTGAGGATCCTCAACCACATGTGCAGCCGTCACTCGACGCTTGGAGATCACATAGTCGGGGAAGACGGATCGCATGGCTTGGGACATCTCATCGAACTTCAAATTGCCCTGAGCCCGAGCCAAAACGACAGCTCGATTCTCCTCCGACAGCCCGGAGGCATTCAGCAACACCCAGCCGCGGGCCTCCGCGGGGAAGTCCACGCCCGTCTTACGGGCACACCGGTCGAAGCATTCGCGGGCCCTCGCGCACCACTGGCGAATGGTCTCGCCGTCCTTGGACTTGAGGTTGAACACGTCGGAAATGTGCTCACCGATCTCGTCGGTGCGGTCTTTCTCAGGCCAGCGAAGGTCGAGCAAACCGAAGATGACATCTTCTCCTCCCTTGACCTGGTACTCGCTCTCCTTCAAGTGCTCAACCACCTCCAGGGCACGTCCCTGAAGGAGGGTCCAGACGAACGACCCGCGGGCTTCCGGAGACAACTTCTCGGTGACTCTCATTTTGTTCTTGCACCATTGCTTCCAGCGGCGGTATTCACGATAGTCACAGTCTTCACCGCTGAAATAGCGGAGGCTTGCACCCAATTCCGACATGGCTCAAACAAAAACGAAAACGCGCACGGTCGAAACCCAGCGAGCGTCCAGCCCGCCGGAGCCCAGTCTCTTACCGGGCTCCGCTACCAATGTTGGTAGCACGATCCGACGCTCCGCGCCGGTCCATTTCTCCTCTGGGCATAAATGTCCCTGCGCACGGTCAAATCATCAGGCCTATAGGATCCTATAGGGCTGGGGAGTGCTTGCTTGGGCCGGCACTTTTTGGAGGATAAAGTATGTGCAGTATGCCTGTACCCCACCCTTGTGGGTCCAAGAACAAGTCTTTGGGTCTTGGTCTAGGTTCCTACGATCATTTTGGGTGATTGATGTGCACGGGGGGTTGCGACGATCAGGATGTCCTCTGCTGGTGTTCAACGCTACCACGCCCCGTGCGTTCGCACACAGCAAGTGAAACACTTGCTGTGTGAAAGGAACATGATTAGTAATGATTAGTATACGAGTTCCTTGCGGGGCACCTCTTGGATGGTTTCTTGAGGAGAGGCAAAAAAATCACCTGAAGCAAACCCCGGCGTGTAGCACTGTATCCCCTGCATTGCGGTTTCCTGGGTCGTCTCTATAACTGGGACCTCTTCCAGCCCGTCTTGGGCGGACAGCTCCAGCCGAGCGTCGTTCCACATCCGTGGCCATGGTCCAAAGGCTGGCGACCAGGAGGTACCACATCAGAACAAAGGTCCCTTGCGGCAAGTAGACCCAGTCCCAAAAGTCCAGCCACACCTGGACGGCGCTACCGCTGCATCAGAAGCCGCTTCACCCGGTCGACCAGACCCGCTGGGTGAAAGATTGTGAAAGTAAAAGGACTGGTCTGGGCAGCTGTTGCGAGTTGTCCGCAGAAGCGGAGAACACAATGACTTCACTTCGAGTGATCCCCACCCATGGCATCTCCGGCATTTGCTTTTAGTTGCCAGGATCACACGCCAGCTCTCAAACACGCCTGCCCATTGTTTGTCTGATGCATGTGGTCCATGTGAGATCCCGGCATATCCTGGCTACCTCTCCAGCTGTGCTCATTCCACCTGTCACCTGTTCCATGCCACTTCCAGCGGTTGCAGTCCGGTGGATCTGGCACGCGTGGTTGATGTCCGGTGGTGTGCCCACTGCGATCTGGCACTTGTGGAGGAAAGGCCAAGGAGGAGGAGGAGGAGGAGGAGGAGGAGGAGGAGAAAAAGGACAGCTCACCTGGCAGGTGAGGAAGAACAACATTACAGGGATTTCCAGGGTGATCGGTGTCCTCCTTTTCTAGTCCTAAAATGTCCTAAACAAGAATCAACATATGGACGTCAAAACACCCACCTGCATCCGCTGATTCAGACTGCAATGGAAATCGTGCCGTTTACATAATGTGGGCGTCTATGCATGCAAAAAGGAGAACCGAAGTGGAGTTGGTGTTCGCAACCGACGACAGCATGGCATGGCTATGGACAAAAGAAACGAGTCGACCATGGTGGAGAATGAGCGGCAAACTGTAGGGAGTACGTCTGCACGAAAGGCCTGCTGGACAATTCAAAGGGTCATCCTCATCATCCCTCTCGCCCAGCAAAATGTCATCCAACTCCAAGGCATCACTATGAAAGTCACTATGAATATTCCTGAATACTTTCAGTATCGACCTGGCCTGCCACTGAATGCACCACTGCACAAGGTGAAACACAATGCAAGCCTTGGGCCACCGACCAGGGGACGGATCCAGTTGGGTGCAGGGGATGGACTCCAACATATTCCAACGAAAACGTCTGGAATTACGTGGACATTGACACCAAAAACTTTCGTATCTAGGTCCACACCCCCCCCAGATCCCCTCTATGACTTCCAGTCACATCTTGCACCAAACAGGGATTCCTTTCTCGGAGATCTTCTTTTTGCATCAGGACTGGGTCAAAAGGTTGCCATGCAGTGGACTGAAGATTTTCATGCCATCCGTGCTGGACTGGGATCCTAGTTGCAACATGTTGCAACTATAAACTCAATCAAAGCGACCTATCCATGTAAGTAAATACTGTTATGATATGGAGTATAAAGGGACCCCGAGGCTCTGAACCTCTATGTTGCTCGAGGGTTCCCTGACCCATGGGACAAAAGAACCAAACATCCGCTGGATGAACCAGAAATCCGTGGCTTCGACTCCCAGCCGAGTCGGGCGCCCAATGAGGTGCACTCCCGCCGAAAGACGTGGATATCCAACGGCTCCGAGTTCGGATGACCCATTCCAAAGACCAAAGTTCCACCAGACAAGAAGAGAATCACCTCTCACATGTTCATCAGACATCAGACCAAACCAATCCTATCCCATCCTCCAAGGTTTTACGACGTCGTTCACGACTGGGGATCTTGAAAAACCCTCCCACGATGCTTCCAAGGCTCTGCGCGCATGGCCTTGCCACTTCTTCGACAAACCCAGGGGCTATTGAAGGTGAGCACATCCTGGGCTCGAAGAGTCTGGATTGGCTCGAAGAGTCTGGATTGGCTCGAAGAGTCTGGTTCAAGCATCCAGGTCTGCGGACAGATGGTTTTTGGGACAATACAAAGCACCTTTAAGATACCTATATGCAACACCAGGTCTCCGTGGTCTCCCGCCACCAGCTCTCAGCCCAAGCATACCACGAGTGCCACGACCGTGGCGACTCGTTCGCAGGAACGTGCGGCCCCGCGCCGCCGCCATGTTACGCAGGTCTGGCCATTGATGTGCATGTATAGTGTTTAATAACTCACACGCGCACAATATATTGTTGATACATACCAGTTGTGAGAACAGAACAATGTGGCCATTCCAAAACCAACGAAGCATTTAAACATATGGAAAGAAGATACCAAGGCGTTACTCAAGGCGCTTCTTCTCTCTACTCCCCACCTTTTGATTCTTGCGATTATGGTGCACTAACGTTGCACAGGGTCATCAGCTAGCTCTGACGATGGTTCGGGCCATCTCGTTCCCCATGTCGCTGAACTGGGGGACATCGTCCTCTTAGGATCCTGATAAGAGGTTTTAGCTGCCTGTGCGTCGTGACGACGGTGGGATGCAACTCACAAGGCTTTGGCTACTTACGTAATTATATATATACACATAAAAATAACTCACAAATGATATATGCTATAACCACCGGCCGCAATAGCTTCATGATGCTTCATGCAAATACGTTTCTCCAAATGGGTTGCTCACCGTGTCTGACCCGAGGTCACGCCATACCCCTGGCCGCAGGTGGACCGCCACGGAGGGGCACAGACGGACGTGACAAATGGAATCCACGGAATGCCGCGGAACCTGATGTTCTTTGGGGTCGCGGAATCCAGGTGTTGTTTTTTGACATTTCGGAATCCGCGGCTCAGAAGGCTGTTTGACCTGCCTTGATGGACCTGCTGTTTCAATTTCCTCTCTGTATATAGAGCCTGTTTCAATCCGTGAACCCGTTGCCTGCCCTTGGCTGGGCATCACTGAGCCGGAGACGGCCGGGCGACTCACTTCCTTACCTCCTGAGGCTTCAACATGACCCTCTCCAAGTGAGGTCAAATGACACAAGCTCAATTCAACTGAGCCCAAACACTCCATGTATGGCATGGAATAGTTACTTACATGGATGGGTCATAAAATGAAACAACATATTCCATACATGACACGCATGGCCGGGGTGGGGATCCATATCCTGGAGTATTCTGAAATCAACTACCACTTTTCTGATCAGTCTCCGGCTGCCATGCGTGGATGGTCTTGGGACCGCGAGATACAACGACCCTCGACTGTACAGGTCTCCTCTGGTGGTCTTTGGAGACTAGCAGGTCTCGGGGCCTGCCTTGGTATACCCAGCGCTTCCAAGACCGGGTGCCGTGCCGTCGGAGACCGATGGAATGAGCTACCAAGACTCCACACCCCAGCTCAGCTCCGAATAGTAGCTGACTTCAACTTGAGCTTTTTGACAAAGGGCAGCCCCGCTTCCAGTTGAATGGGCTTACAATAGCAGTTGTGAAAACGTGGTGAAGTCCTGCTTGTGACAAGTCAAGTTGCCCGTCCCCTTCCATTCTTTTCAATCATTGGCTCAAAGCAGATTCTTCTCCTGGCCCCTTTGGCCAGAAAAAGGGCGCTCCCCAATTGATGGGTCAGGCCTTCGTTCGGGTTGAGATATGTTGAGATCCAAGAATGGTGGGGTGTTGGATGTTTGCTCCACATGTACTGAGAAAGACATTGAAGCCCTTGAGGCGCTTTCGCTCCAAAATCCAAACCCACCCCCTTAGGCCACGTGAAGCTCCCGCCTTGGAAACACAGGTCTTCTGTGCACCAGTTCGCGCACTGTGACTACTGGGGCATCGGCATAGCAGTCACTACGAGTGCGGTCACATCCGCTAGGTCCGGTTCGTCATCTCAATCCCCCGGTGTGTGGGAGAGCCCTGGAAGTCAGCGAAACCCAGGCGGTCTATGTCCCACAAGCGCTGCCGGTAGTCGGTGATATGACTCAGGAGCACCACCCAAAGAAGCGCCAAACGAATGCTGATGGCTGCCTCCGTGGGAGGCTGATTGTTGTTGGGAGGTTCTTTGGATGGTTTTACCTGCTTCGTGTTCCAAAATGGGCCAACTGATGAGAGCAAGCATGGCCTGGATGTCACTTTGGTGGATGCAAGTCAATGGATGTAGGCCACATTTAATTTACAGCTTTGGACTAGGAGAGCGCGGATTTTGCCACCATTACCTACTTCCTGTATGTAGAAAGGATCTCAATTGGCATATTGGAATATTTTGGAACCGTTCTTATTTCTGCTTGTTTCTGTTTCCAGGTCAGCAGGCCATGCGGAACCTGTTTCCAGGTAAGCAGGCCATCTTGACATGGATCCACATACCTTCACCTTGATGTAGGCACAAAGGGTCCGTCTACACCTCATGAGGAGGTGCTTGGGTCCCTAAGGTGCTAGCTCAACCGGTATTCAACCGATAATCCCTTCCACCTATTGACAAACACGCACCCCCCTAGTTTTTGTTATGAGGTCCCAAATTCAAA